CTATTTCCCTCTCTTCTCTCTCTGCCTCTTCTCGTTTTCTCTCTCTCCCTAACACACACAGAAGCAAAAAAATTAATCAAGAGACATAAATTTTGGGCCCTTCTAAGGTTTTGGACTGTTAAGAAGTCAAAGGTACTTTTTTAAATGGTTTTTTTGGTTAAAAATTCTCCTGGGTCCTTTTCTCCCACTTCTATGGGTTTGTTGTAGCTGATTGTACTGAGCTCTGTGAAGCAATGTGGAAGAGGTTCCCATGTGTAATTTTGTAGTTGTTTTAGAGTGTGGTTTGCTTCAAAGCTTTGAGTTTGTGTAATCTCTGTATTGTTGAAATCATTTTTGTTTTTCATTGGGGGAGGAGTTTCTGTTCTTGACGCTCTGCTCTTCCTTCAGCTTCCGACCACCTTCTTCCCCAGCGCATCCACACTCCGCCCCTCTGTCTATATCTTTCTCTATGTGGCAACCAGGAGCATAAAGGACTTGTTGTGGATTTCTTTCCTTGCCAAATGAATTTGGATGATCTTTCTTTTTTATTTAAGTAAATAGATTATTGTTTAGGTTTCTGGTAGTTTGATGCATGCACACATGTATTGGATTAGATTGAATAACATGTATTGGTAGTTTTATTCATTTCCAATTATCTCTCTGTGCCCGATTACCTTGTTATTTGGATGATCTTTCTTTTACTGTTGTTTTCTTTCGGACAACGTCGACCACGTGTGTAATTTTATTTGTTCCTTCCTTCCTTCTGTGCATTTTTGTGTGTGCTTGCTCACACGTGTACTTGTATGATGCCCAAAACGTTTTTTGTTTATTTTATCTTTCTCCCCCTTGCAGTTTTCTTTGTTTCGGGGCAACTGTTTTTTTATGTCTTCCAGGCCCCTAATAAATTGATGGTGATAGTTCTATGAGGACTATCCTTTTCTTCGTGAAATTCTCCTTCTGGTCCTATGAACTTGGTGGTGATTATAAGACTATGAATTTTGAAGATGCATTTAGGGCCTGTAATTGGTCATTCCCGCTTTATTTGTTTCATTCTAAGATGAACATGACATGCATTTACTATAAGTTTTGGGCTATGATTATGTTTATCTGGTGTTCTGTTAGTGCTGCCTTTACTCCCTGAAGAATCTTTGTGACTGGTAATTTTTTTCCCTCACGAAAATTAATAATTCAATGTGTGGAACATTGTTTAGCAGCTTTTGGGCAGTCATCTAGCAGCCCGTTTGCATCCCAACCGGTCTTTGGGCAGACCAGCAACACAAGTAACAATCCTTTTGTTCCAAAGCCTTTTGGTAGCACAACTCCGTTTGGTGCCCAAACAGGGAGTTCCATTTTTGGCGGCACTTCAACTGGTGTATTTGGTGCAGCTCAATCTTATTCACCTTTTGGAAATACAACTCCTGCTTTTGGAGCAGCTTCTAGTCCGGGTTTCAATAGTTCACCATCACCGTTTGGTGGTAAGTTGATTGAGTTAGTTTAAATTTCTACATTTTGTGCTCCTTCACACCTTTCAAGTGATTCATTTTAATGTAATTACTATGAAATACGGTTATTAGAAATTTGTTTCAATGTCCCCTATCATTTTTAATGCCCTTCAGGTTTATACTGAGTTTTCTTGGAAATTTATGAGGTTATTGAGCATTTTCAAATCTAATGCTATATATAAGTGGATTATGCTTTCTGTGTGAGATGGCCATGTTGTTGTCAAATTTTTTGTTCAGTATACATTTCTGATGTAGTGCTAACACTTCTGTATGAGATGGGGTCTAACAGCTGACTTGTGGAACAAATTTTTTATTGGGCTGGAACTTCGACTGTTTTTTGTTGTTGTCATGCCGCGGACTTATTTCCTTACCAGATGAATTTGGATGATCTTTCTTTTTTTGTGTAAGTAAATAGATTATTGTTTAGGTTTCTGGTTATTTGATGCATGCACACATGTATTGGATTAGATTGAATGTCTATAATAGAGGACTAGGGTTCAAGTATTAAGAAATATCACTAAGAAATATCACGAGTGTAATTAAGACTTTGAGAGTGGAAGAGGTATGATTATTATATCTTTAGGTGGTCTGGTTTTTGCGTGAGGGATTGGTTTCATCTTGTATTTTAAGCAGACATTTGTTCACCTCAATTAGAGGAGCTTTACTTCTTAATCTATACTTGCAGGTTTAAATGTTTGTCTTGCACCAGTTTGTGTTTTCTTTTGCTTGCTGAGGTCACCTCCATTTTAGAAGCTCATCAACAATCTACATAGAATTATAATGGATGCGTAATCTACGAAATTGCTTTGTTATTTGGTGAACATGTTATTCATTTTCATTCATCTCGCTGTGCCCAAATCTTTGTTATTTGGATAACATGTTGTCACTGATGATTCTCACTCCCTCAACAGGTTCATCTGGTTTTGGTCAGAAGCCTGTTTTTGGAGCATTTGGGTCCAATACTACTCAACCAAGTCCTTTCGGAAGCACAACTCAGCCATCACAGCCAGCATTTGGGAGTGGCATATTTGGTTCCACCACACCATTTGGTGGATCAAGTCAGCCAGCCTTCGGGGCTACTAGCACCCCCCCAGCCTTTGGGGCTACAAGTGGTCCAGCCTTTGGTGCTACGACCACCCCAGCGTTTGGTGCTACAAGCACCCCAGCATTTGGTGCTACAAGTACCCCGGCTTTTGGGGCTACTAGCACCCACCCAGCCTTTGGGGCTACTAGCACCCAACCAGCCTTTGGGGCTACAAGCAGTCCAGCCTTTGGTTCCACAACAAGTCCTACATTTGGAAGCACAGGATCTGCATTCGGGGTATCAAATTCTTCCGTGTTTGGATCTACGGGAGCATATGGGGCTTCAAGCACCCCAGCTTTTGGTTCTTCTGGATCCACCTTTAGTACTTCAAGCAATCCAGGTTTTGGTGCGTCAAGTGCTCCTGGTTTTGGTTCATCCAGTACTCCATCTTTCACCTTTACATCAGCTCCTGCTTTTGGCCAATCAAATTCTACATTTGGTAGTGCCTCATCTCCGTTTGGAGCACAGAGTTCTCCATTCGGTGAGTAGGTTTAGATGTATACGAGTGGTGGTACATTTTGAAAGAAAAACTGGACTAATTATTTTGCTGGTCAAGGAATATCTTGTTGTCTTTCTTACAGTCAAGGAATGCCTCATTTTGCTTTGTGTCATTGTTTCTGTATTATATTCTTATAATTTGTGATGCAGGAGCTCAGCCAACAACATTAGGGAGCAATGCCTTTAGGCAGTCAGCTTTTGAGGGCCAACAATGTGGGGGTAGTAGAGTGGCTGCATATACAGAAACTCCTGAACCAGATGGTAGTTGGGGGGGCACTGCTGCAAAATTGGAGTCAATGTCAGCAATGCCAGTATATAAAGACAAAAGTCACGAAGAACGTCGCTGGGAGGATTATCAATTGGGGGATAAAGGTATGTTGCTAGTTATTAGAAAATTTTCTGCTGTTGTCAGAAATTATGACATTACTAGGTTCTAAACATTATAATTTTTAACTTCCAGGTGGTCCAGCTCCTGCTGGTGGGAGTGGCTTTGGCATGTCTACATCACAACCAAACCCTTTGAATACTGCACCGTCATTTCCTCAAGCATCTACAAGCCCTTTTAATAGCGCAACTTCATCTAGTTTGTTTGCAAGAAAAATTCCATCCTTCCCTTCTACAGGCTTTGGAACATCGTCTACACCATTCAGTTCATCATCTTTTGGTTCATCCAGTACTCCATATTTCAGCTTTTCATCAGCTCCTGCTTTTGGCCAATCAAATTCAACATTTGGTAGTGCCTCATCTCCTTTTGGAGCACAGAGTTTTCCATTTGGTGAGTAGTTTTAGATGTATATGAGTGGTTGTACATTTTGGAAGAAAACCTGGACTAGTGTTTTTGCTGGTCAAGGAATATCTCATTGTCTTTCATTACAGTCAAGGAATGCCTCATTTTGCTTTGTGTCGTTGTATCCGTATTATAATTTGTGATGCAGGAACTCAGCCAACAACATTGGGGAACAATGCCTTTAGGCAGTCAGCTTTTGGGGGCCAACAACGTGGGGGTAGTAGAGTGGCTGCTTATGCAGAAACTCCTGAACCAGATGGTGGTTCTGCAAAATTGGAGTCAATATCAGCAATGCCAGTATATAAAGACAAAAGTCACGAAGAACGTCGCTGGGAGGATTATCAATTGGGGGATAAAGGTATGTTGCTAGTTATTAGAAAATTTTCTGCTGTTGTCAGAAATTATGACATTACTAGGTTCTAAACATTATAATTTTTAACTTCCAGGTGGTCCAGCTCCTGCAGGTGGGAGTGGCTTTGGCATGTCTACATCACAACCAAACCCTTTGAATACCGCACCGTCATTTCCTCAAGCATCTACAAGCCCTTTTAATAGCGCAACTTCATCTAGTTTGTTTGCAACAAAAACTCCATCCTTCTCTTCTACATTCTTTGGAACATCGTCTACACCATTCAGTTCATCATCTTTTGGGTTTTCTACTTCATCCAGTATTTTTACCCCATCATCATCATCTCATTCATCTCATCTCCATCTCTCTTTAGTTCATCTTTTGGGTTTTCTACTTCATTCAGTATTTTTACCCCATCATCATCATCTCATTCATCTCCATCTCTCTTTAGTTCATCAACGCCATCCACATTTTCTGCTTTAGCTCAAACATCAAATTCCACATTTAGTACGGGACTATTCAATTCCACTGCTCCAGTTGCAGAGACAGGTTTTACTTCTGGACTAAGTACCACTTCGGTTGGATCTGGGCATCGATTTTATATTTCAAGTACTCTAGCTTCAACAGAAAGAAGAAGAAGAAGATGAATGTAATGGTAGGACCAATGGAGCAAATAATATAGAGTTGATGGACCATTTGAACGAATAATTTAATTGAGGGACCAAAATGTAAATCAGGTATAAGTTTGAGGATCATTTGAGTAATTTACCCGATAATTTTTTTGTTTTTTGTCAAGCTAAAATCATGGAAACAAAAGAAAGTAAGGGCCCATTCGGTAATGTTTTCGGAGAATGTTTTCTTAGAATATTTTCAGAGAATGAAAACAAGAAAACGAATTTGCATCTCAGGAAATGAAAATGCGTTTGGTAGATTAATTAGAAAACATCTTCATAAAACAAAAATAATGAAAACGTGTCTGGTAGTACAATTTGAAATAATAATACGTGGGTTATTTTTATGAAAACGTTTCCTATGAGAATGAAAACAACTTCTTCTTTTTTTTTCTGTTTTCTACAAGTATACATGAACTTATTTTCATTTTATGAAAACATTCTCAGTGTTTTCTGTTTTTAGGCTACCGAACGTGTTTTCGCCTCATTTTTGTTCTTTGAATATGAAAACAACCCCTTAAAACATTACCGAATGAGCCCTAAAGTTATGGTAACCAAGGATCAATACATGTTAAACCTGATTAATTAGAGCCATTATACATTTACATAATTGTCACTCACTACTGCAACACACAAACAAAGAGGGGGAGGAGGGTACATAATTTATTATTGGGGGCACACACATTAAAGAATGATTAGCCTGCAAAGAAGACTTAGCTTGTAAGGTTAAAAAGGTATTTTCAAAAACACCTGAAAGAAAAAAAAAAAAAAAAAAAAAAAAATTATCACCCCAGAACAGAGGATGCATAGAAGAGTGGGTCCCAAGAGGCATTTGCACCACCTGCCGCCCAATTGTTGTCACAGTGCAAAAACTGCTGCTGGTCTGAAGACCAAGCACCTGAAGCTGATGACCCCAAAATTGCTGACCCATCAATCTGTGATAGGTGCTGTGTGCTCACCGCTGTCACTTTACCATCCCCAGCAAGGCTTGTGATTTGCAATGGCAGCTCCATAGGGCACTGCTCTGTAAATGAATCAGTTTGCGTTGACCATGTTGACCAATTGGGCACTTGGTCATATGCGAATGCTGGAGACTCATTGCTCCAAGCCATGCTCTGGTTTGATGCTGTGTGACTAGGCTGAGCTTGATGATGACCCCACCGATGATCATGACCGTTAACATCTAACACAATCGGGTCCTCCTTCGCCGACCCGGATGAAGAAGGAGGCGGGTTCGGGTTCACAAAACCCACCACGCCACGTGGACCAATAGGAAACAGCTCCATCTTGGCACCACCATTATTCCCCCGTGGTTGTGGAACCACACACCCTTTGCCGTCGAGCAGCTTAGCCCTGAGCGCGCCAAGCAACCCATCGGCTTCAGCCCCATTTCCACACACAGCCTCAAACGAAAAAGGCTCCACATTTTCGGCCACGCCGGCACCGCCATTGGCATGGCCGGACCCATTGGTCGATTGGGGCAATTCGAAGTTGGTTCGGGCGGTCGCACCGCGCAGCGCCCCGCGCGCACCGCGCCGCGGTGGCCCGGGGCGGCCCCCCCCGCGGTGTAGACCGCCCCGAGCCAAAGCCTCACCTTTTGCAGAGAGTCCTTAATCTCGGCGACCCATCTCCCCGATGGCCTCTGTCGAACGCCCACGAACCTGTGGTGGCCTCTCGTCGATGATTTCCTCCTGCCCCGGACGCCGTCATTTTGTGCGCGTAAACCCATTGATCGGTTTTTGCTTGTCTCTGATTGAAACCGTCTGAGCACGAAGTGGCGGTGGCTTTATAATGATGGATTAGCTGAAGAATCTGGGAGCCCGAGAAGTCGACGAATAACAAAGTGACAAAACGTCGCCGTTGAAGCCTTGCAGGCTTGATTGTTTTTAACGACAACAACATTAAAATACTTTGAGAAATGGTCACAGCAATATTTCTGCTTCCTCTTATTGTAAATTTCATTACATCATTGCATACGATATGTCCCCTCTGCGTTGTCTAATCTAATGCAAGCTAATAAAGTGAAATACCTTTTGTACCCTTTGCTGTAATTTTCGATAATGGTTGGGAATTAATCGCTGTAGAAAAATGGAATCATGGGTTTTTTTACCGCTTTGAAAGTTGAAATTTTGGGATCTACCGCAACGAGAAAAAGAAAAGGATCGTTGGAGTTACCGCTGTAACTTGGAACTTGTAGTAAGATTTATTAGACCGCTCTAATGTGAAAGGACTCTAAAGGGAATTTATTGGGGCTAATTTGGGAATTTTGGCCTTGTGCTTTTCTTATAATGTTTGATTACGACGTTAATATATCTGGTCTGATTAATGAACCAATGAGTGATTGGCAATGCCACTTGGCTGATTATATTTGTTTACTTGAGAATGACATATCTTGATCCAAACTTGAGGAAATAAGCTTGGCCTTGATTGCACTAATGTTCTGGCTGCTTCGTTTGGATTGGACCAATGTATTGATTTTTTTTTTTTGTTCGAAAATAATGTATTGATCAGTGATCCTTGTTTATAAGGATTAGTTTGGATTCAATTCCAATCCAGTAAACATCGAGGCACCAAATAAGGCCAAAATGGTTATCCTCTGGTTTCATCTTAAACAAATGATTTTTGTCTCTCTTCGGATGAAGCAAATCTCATATCTATTCGTTCATTTTTGTCCCTCTTATGAATTATTTTTTCTAACTTGTTTGCGACACATAGAGCAATTCTTTCTTGTTGGGTTCATTGGTTATTTAATGATAAACAGTCTTAGTTTTAGATTTCCTACTAATTAGGTTGGTAGAGGTTTCAAAATTTGACATTATTTTAAGACAAAAATGTTCTTATATCTTAAACCTTTTCAAACCAAATTGTTTGGTCGAGGATTGTGCTTATGTAGCTTTGTCTACTTTGGTACCTGATCTTTGGGCATCCCTACTCTAGCTGCGTAGGAGGTAAGTTGTCTTCTGTATATTCTGCCATTTGGAACTTTGTCGATTAGGCTAATAATATCATACATATATACGTACCATTTTTTTAATACAAGCGATAGTCTAAACTATAGGGGAGAGGAGTTTCTTACACACACACTACCATATGATGCCATGAAGATTCAAACCTGAGACCATTATAGTATGCAAGTCAAGACCCATTTTTACTAAACTAGACCTGTTGGCACTTAATTACAGTTGAATTAGAAGAAAACATGCACATGAATTTTAAATGGTTCCTGATAAACATTGTCTAGTTGTGTTGTGTCAAATACATTTTATATCTTAGTTTCTCTTAAACTTGTATAACCTTCAAATCCGAATTCTTTCTCTCACTGAAGCATGTGTGGACACATCACAGGAAAGTGTGTGCCTTCTGGACGATCAACAAGCACTCTCGTTTCTTTTATTATTCTTCATCAAAAAGAAAATATATCAAAATGATTAATTATTTATGATAATCTAACTAAAGATACCACAACATATCATGGATATAATCGTCTATAGTTGACGTACTTAATAGAAGTATTTAGTTATATATCTATTCTTAGCACTAATGATATCCATAGAGGCTACACGACATTCCCACACAACAACTCATCCGCTGAAAAGCAATGAATGCATTCATGTCTTCAATAAGTGACTTCAGAATGGACATTGGGCATCAGTGCCCTTTGTAACTTTTTGCAATATGTTTCATCCAACTTTTTCCGTTTTTCTCTTGGATGATAAGAACTACTTACTCATAGGTATATCAGACAGGTCTGAAAAGGCAAATATGGTAATGCAGCACAAATGTAACTACTTGAATCGTTTTCCGGCAGTTCTTGCTGAATGTCGAACGGGTGTTGCTCTCATCAAATCTTTGTTTCCATCATCTGATCTTCAACCTTAACATTTGGGGAATGTTCTTCTACATATTTAGTTTCATTTTTATGATCACTTTGCTTGTTTGCAGATGTTGAACCTGCACCACCTTTAAAGTCCTATTTTGTGTGTTGTCCATGAAACCAACAAATTTCTGAGAGTGGATCATCAAAATATGATATGTACATTCTATCAACACGACATACCTTTACTTTCATTTATTTTTATATTACTCCATTTACTTAAGTTTACAATGTAAATAAGGAAGTACTCCCCATCTGGATTCATAAAAATACTAGAAAATCAAATTCCCCCCAAATCAAAATTTGAAAAATCGGTTTTAGTGCAAAATACAATTTAGGCTAAAAATGATAGCTCATTAAGTCAATATATACTTCATAATAAAATCCCATAAAATCAAGTTTTCTTATTTGATGTGTAAGGAATAAAAGCCGCCAAAAATTATCTTGAGAAAATGATTATTCCGAAAAACCATTTTTCATACTTAGTCAATATTTTTACATAGAACAATTTTTCATGTATGATATGAATTTATGAAAGGATCTAAGATCAATCTAGGTAAAAAACCTTATATATTCAATCTACAAAGAGTTTTTAACATTTTAAAATTGCACATCCGCTAAAAAATTCTTGGGTCCGTTAGTGCCTATATGAACAGAAACTAACCTCAGTAAGTTCTTTAGGCAAATCAAGTTGGGCTTCTTCAAGGTTTCCGATGCTGGGACATGAAAAGCTAATGTTGATATATTTAAATAGTATACCGCGCGGCTATACTATTTAATATTCGAATATATTGAAATAGTATAGTCGCCGCGAATTTGAAATAGTATAGCCGCGCGGCGATACTATGTAATATTCGAATATATTTTAAGCGTACAGCCGCCCGGCTATACTATTTAATATTCAAATATATTTGGAGAGTATAACCGCCGAGCGGCTATATGCTTTAAATATATTTGAATATTAAATATTATAGCCGCGCGGCTGTACTACCATTTACTTCAATAAAATGGAGTCCACAACCTTGAAATTACACCGATTCTTCATTCCCTTGATAACATGAATATCCATGCTGGAACTGAGCAGAGCAGCTACACAGACAAAATTTCTTCTGCCATATCTGTTATTGCTGAGAAGGCAATCTCTGCAAAAAAATGTCGTTGTTTCCAAGCTGGGATATTGGGGAAACAATGATCAACATGGAGAAATCAAGCCTCAGGCTTGTACTGCTTCAACTAAAGCAGGTAACTATAGGATTAGTAATGACGCCCTCCTGATTATGGCTTAATCTGTTTTAGACTTAGCAAACCATGTATATATTTTTGTTACTGCAAATTGATTTCTTATTTCCTAACATGTACCTGCTGATTATTTCCTAACATGTGACAGGTGGTGGAGATGAACAAAAATCACACCAAAATCTGAGCACTGGAACATATATATCATCTGCTGGAAGCCACGACCAGTTTTCTGCTGAGAGACCATCAAACCAGAGCAGCACCTATACTGAGAAAATTTCATCTGCCACATCTGCTATAGCCGACAAGGCAATATCTGCTAAGAACGTCGTCGCTTCCAAACTCGGATATGGAGGGAACAATGCAGCCAAGCCTGGTGGATCAACGGCGCCTAAGAGAGGCCGTTACAGATAATTTTCCGACATGTGGTTGAAGAAGGTGAGAAAGGATGGGGTGGCGCTCGGGCCTTGGGCTTGGGCGGAGCCGCCAGAGGTTGCGGTGGTTGAGGCTGGAAGGATTGGAGGTGGGGTTTGGTTCGACATTGAGAGTCGATGGATCTGAAGTGTGAATTTTTCTTTAGGGATTTTCGGGGTGTTTTTGGTTAAAAAAGGAAAAAAAAGTAATTTAAAATACAAATGAAACAGGCCCTACAGGCCTTGTGTAAGCCCATTGACCTCGAGCTAACAAAAATTCAAAAATTGATGACCTAGTCCAAAACAGAACTAGTTCATTTACTATATTCTAATTATTTTCCATTTTATTGAGTGTTACCACATTTTTCTTATAATATATGAACAACATTTGAATCACAAGGTGTGGTGTGGTTGGTAAATTGCCACCTCCAGCTAGCGAGCTACCTAGTGCCTCAATGACAAGGGTTCAAAACTAGTTGGAAGCACTTTGTAGCCAAGGGTAAGCTGAATCCCGAACGGGGATTAATCTCACCCTTTAGTTGTAAGGACATCTCATGGTAATTACAAAATAATAATAATAATAATAATAATAATAATAATAAATAAATAAATAAATAAATGTTGGGCCCCTTGATATGAGATCGTGGATAGTTGCCCTTGGAGCCTAGGCCTATGGCCAACCGTGGATTAGATTGATTAATGACAATTATTCTTAGGACTTATTTGTGAGTGATTTCGGAGAAGTCAATAATCACTTTTATGTAGAATAACTATGTGCTTATCGATATAATCACTTTTAGTAATTTTAAGTGATTCTATGAAGAAACACATCACATGTGTTTCTCTACAAAATCACTTAAAAGTCATTATTTGGAGAACTTTTAGTAATTTTAAGTGATTCTAAGAAGAATCACCTCCTATATGTTTCTTCACAAAAGTGATTTTAGTATATTCAGAATCACTCTCAAACGAATCCTTATACATATTCATT